AAGAGGGTGTTAGCAATCTTTAGAAAAAGCATAACAGCGGTAGGAACCTCCAGGTTCGTGTAAGAGGGAATTTTGCCGGAAATGAAGAAGTGGCGATAAAAAGCCTATCGAAGAAGTCAGAGCAATGGCACGAGGAGTTCATGAATGAGTTAAAGCTTATAGCCGAGCTCCAACACTCCAACCTTGTTAGGTTCCTGGGTTGCTGTATTGAAGACAAGGAAATTATCTTGATTTCCGAGTATACCCAATCAAAGTTTAGGCAAACTTTTGTTTGGTATATATGGTCATCACTATTGTTGATTTTTAGGACATCACATTTGATTTCTTTTGTTCACTCTACCTCATGTTTTGTCCAATCAAATCCAGTTGTAAAAACAAAACTGGATTGGGGAAACACTTTCGAATAATAGAATATGTTACTCCATGAGTACTTTATATCCACAAGTTCTGTGGATTAAGGATCATTCACAGGGACCTAAAAGCAAGTAATATACTATTTGGATGAAGCAATGAATCCCAAGATTTCGGATTTTGGAATGGCGAGGATTTTCGGGATGAACCAAACTAAAGCAGATAATAATAGGGTTGTTGGCACATAGTAAATGAAGAAGCATAGGGTATATCATCATCTTATGTTTGTGCAATTGTCTTTGTTGCTCACTTCTCAAGCACCATTCATGCAGCGGCTACATGTTGATGGAAATTGTTTATTAACAGGATCGAAAACGGATGTCGTTGGACTATCGATCATAATATGGTGTGAAGGATATGAACAGAGTGAATATAGAATTGAATGTTCTTTCTGACAGAAAGGGATTTACAAATATATAGATATGCAAGTAACCTTTCTGGAGAAGTTGTGTTCTTCAGGAGAAGTTATAACTTCTCAAGTTGGAATATAACTGTTCATATCCTTTAATTAATTAATTAATTAATTATATTATATTATATTATTTTCTTTATTAATTAATTAACTTATTTCACTACAATCATATGTATATTAGTACACCAATGTTATGGTATACCTTCACATATGATTACACATATTGTGAAAACCATGTTATCATAATCATATTCCAACATCTCCCACTTGATTATGATGACATAAATGGTTTCCTATTCTAATTTGTTTCTCTAGAGTATGACTCGTAAAGAAATTCAATGTAACATCAGATATATGGCTTCTTTACTTGGTGCGCACCATTCCACTTTATCTGATAACATTTTACTTTTTAGTAAAATTGCATCATATCCAAGTAACTATGAAAAACAATCCATACCCAGTTACAAATGATGACTTAGTCATGAACTTACGCCATAGTGTTATATAAATGATTTCTTGAAGCCTTTTACGGATTTTACTTTCAAGACGATTTATTATAACCGGTTACCTCGCTAGTGCCCTCTATCTTTAACTGACCAAGTATTAAAGAACTAGATAGAGTCGCATCTACTTGTCCATGTTTTAGGCGTCCTTAAAACCATATAACGATGCCCGCCGCACGTCTCACACTACAACACATCTAGATGTTTTGCAAACCCATTGTAGTCACATGCTCTCTGAATTTTTCCAGAGACAATCCCTTGGTCATCGGATCGGCCACCATCTCTTTAGAGGGTATGTAGTCGACCTCTACCTCTCATTTCTACACTATATCTTGTACATAGTGATATTTAACATCAATGTGTTTTCCTTTGGAACTATTTGCTCCACTCTTTATCAGAAAAATGGAGAACTTATTATCACAAAACACATTGACGTGCTCCTTAGGTATACCTATATTTAAATTATCGATAAATCGTTTAGCCCATACTGCAGCACTAACCGTTGTGCTACAAGATATATATTCTGCTTCCATGGTGGACTTTGCAACACAGCCTTGTTTCTTACTTAACCAAGAAACAGCCGTTCCACCAAACAAGACAATGTTACCACTTGTTGACTTTCTATCATCCAAGTCGCCTGCGAAATCTGCATCGCAATAACAAACTAAATCCAGATCATTTAATCTGAAACAAAGTTTCATGCCTTGGGTGCCCTTTAGATATCTAATAATTCTCTTTACTACCATCCAATGTTGCTTTCCAGGGTTGGATTGATATCTACTTACCAATCCAACTACATTACATATGTCAGGTCTTGTGCTGGTCATAGCATACATCAAACTTCCAACTGCTTGGGCATACGGAACATTTTGCATATCAATGATGTCTTGCTTCTGTACCGGACACATATTTTTGGTAAGCATCATTCCTTTACAAACAGGTGTACTAACTGGCTTGCAATCTTGCATATTAAATCTTTTAAATATTTTATCCAGATAATTTTATTGATCCAAATAGAGTGTTTTGGCATCTCTATCCCTAGTAATTTTAATTCCTAGAACATAAGATGCTTCTCCCATATCTTTCATTTCAAATTTGGATCCCAGATATGACTTAGTCTTTTCAATCATATCTATAGAGTTACCTGCAAGTAAGATGTCATCTACATATAGTGACAACATACAGAAATTATCTTGGCACTTCCAAGAGTAAACACAATGATCCAATGGATTTATTTTGTAACCCATTTCCATAATGGCTTGGTGGAACTTTAAATACCATTGTCTTGATGATTGTTTAAGGTCGTACAACGACTTTCTTAATTTATAGACTTTGTTTTCATGTCCTTTGACATGATATCCTTTGGGTTGAATCATATAGATGTCTTCCTTTAAATCTCCATTCAAGAATGCTGTTTTGACATCTAACTAATGAAGTTCTAAATCCATTCTAGCAACAATTGCCATAAGAATACGAATGGATGTAAACTTCGTAACTGGAGAGTAAGTATCCACAAAATCTATACCAGGTTTCTAAGTATAACCTTTAGCTACAAGTCGAGCCTTAAACTTATCCAGGGTACCATTTGATTTGTACTTCTTATGAAGTACCCACTTACAACCGATGTGCTTTCTTTCATTAGGTAGATTAACCAATTCCCAAACTTGATTTTTCTTTATGGAATCTAATTCTTCATTCATTGCTTGTTGCCATTGTTCAGACTCAAAACTATCCATTGCTTCTTTATAATTCTGTGGGTCTGGATCTCCCACTGAATGATCTACCTCCTCAAGATTGAAAACAAAATGATATTTCAATCTTCTAGATGGTTCCCTTTTTCTTTTACTCCCACTGATTTGATCATTTCTCCCACTATTTATATCTTCCATGATAATATCATGATCATCATCTATGTGTATGTCATGATCGACATTGATGTGATCACCCATGTTAATGTCTTCTACTTGATCATTATCAATGTCAGCGTCATGAGACAAGTCTAAATCAAGATGGAAATCTTGATCATCCGTAGGAGAATTTTCTTCTTCCAAAGATTCCAATTCGTGTATTGGTTTAAACAAATCAGTAGTTTCAATAAAAGTAGCATCTCTACTTTCGATCAATCCTTTCTCAGGATGATAAAACCTATATTCGATACTATTATCAGGATATCCTATGAATTTACATTCCAAAGTCTTTGCTTGTAATTTATTTCTTAATGGCTTTGGAATGAGGACATGCGCTTTACAACCCCAAACTCTTAAGTGTGATAAATCGGGTTTTCGCCTATGCCATAATTCATATGGAGTTAGTGGTTTTGCCTTTGTATGAACTTTATTCAATATATATGCTGCAGTAGCCAAAGCTTCACCCAAAAAATGTAGAGGTAAGTCAACATAAGACATCATAGATCGCATCATATCCATTAGAGTTCGATTTCTTCTTTCTGTGATATCATTTTGTTGCGGTGTATAAGGCATAGTATAATTATGCCTTATACCATTCTCTTTGCAGAAATCATCAAAGGCTTCAAATTCTCCACCTCTATCACTATTAAGGGTCTTTATGGATCTTCCCAATTGGTTCTCTACTTCGGCCTTAAACTCTTTAAATTTTTCTAAGGCTTCATTTTTATGCTGCAAGAAGTAGACATATCCATAATGGGAATAATCATCGATGAAAGTCACAAAATATTTCATTCCTCTATGGGTTTTTGTTCTCATAGGTCCACATAAATCTGTATGCATTATCTCAAGTAAATTTGTAGAAATCCAATGCTGAGAAAATGATTGTCTAGTCATTTTTCCTTTAATACATGATTCGCATGTATCAAAATCATGTGCATTTATTTGAGGCAATATTCCATTTTTACTCATGCGTATTATTTTATTTTTATTTATGTGACTTAAACGTAAATGCCATAAATATGACAAGTTTTGAACAGTAGGGACAAAGGCATACTCGGAAGAAATACTTTTATTAATACAAACTGAGTACATATCATCGACTCTTATTCCCCTTACATAAATATAACCCTTTTTCCCAATAGTGACAACACCATTCATGAACCTTGTCTCAAAACCTTTCTTTTCTAGGACAGAAACAGAGACAAGATTCCTTCTTATATTTGGTGCAAACAGAACATTTTTAAGTACAATGGTAGATTTACTATTGTTGATTTTGCAATCTCCTTCACCCAAAACATCGACATAAGTATTGTTGCCCATGTAGAGACGATGTTCTCCTAGTGCTTTCTCCTTGAAATTGATGAAGCAACTTTTGTCCTTACTTACATGACGAGTTGCTCCTGAATCTATCCACCATTATCCTTGATCTTCAGCAATGAGTGCTTCAGAGACAGTCAAAATTAGTTCTTTAGGATTTTTGTTGTTTTTGCGTCGTTTTGGGCACTTATACCTATAATGACCAGTCTCTCCAAAATTGTAACATGTACTCTCCTTTCCTTTAAACTTGTTCTGCTTGCGGTGTCCAAACTTTTTAAAGTTCAGGCGCTTGCTACTACTATGTGGCTTGTGCATGTGTTGCTTGTTTTTCTGAGAATCTTCTGCTATAAGGAGGTTGGCTCTGCCTTGTCCAATTTCCTTTTTCCTATAATTTTTACGAACTTCTTCAATATTCAACATTGCAGGCAATGTATCCATCGTTAATTCAACTTAACCATAAGTCATGGAAGTAACTACATTTTCCCAAGAATTTGGGAGGCTACCAAGAAGAACACTACCTTGCATTTTATCAGAAACTGGATGGCCAGCATTGGCTAAGTCTTTTGCCACTACTTCCATTTTAGTAATATGATCAACCATAGAATCAGTTTCCTCCATTTTTGTCTCATTGTATTTCTCAAGCAATAACTGAATGTATGTTTGAGATTTAGGACCATACTTCTTTTCAAGTACATCCATGATTTCTTTGATCGAATCACATTCTTCATAGAGAGGTATTAATTTATCTTCCAAGTAATTGAGGATTGTGGCCTTAGCCAATTCATTATCTTCCACCCATTTATTATAAACTCGAGAGGGCCCAAGGGGTCTCTTGTCCTTGATAATGTACAAAGTCTTGTCATGGGTTAAAAGATAAGTAATCCTTCTCTTCCATATTCGATAATTAGCGTTATATAACATCTCTATTTTAAAAGCTTCGGATTTGGAAGATTTAGTTGCCATCACTCAGAAAATTACAAAACAAACACAATACTTAATACAAACTTAAATACAAATACAAATACTACTAGTGTACTTTTAATTATTACAAGCCACAAATACTATATGTTCTTAATAAATTAAAGACTAAAAAAAACAAAATAAAATAAAATAGAATAGAGACTTATTTATTCTTAGCAGCAGATACCGCACACACTCACTGAGGCTTTGTCCAATCAGTGAAAGACGAGTACTTATTCAGGCGATCACGTCGATAGAAGCTCGTGGATTTCTTATTTGTCTACTTGGCCAGGTGTGATCAATCCTGCCTCTATTTTCGTGCACAAAAGCAGTCTCTTCTCGACTACTGGATTCTCTTTCAATTCTCAATGGTCTTGGCCCCCTTAAATTTCTTGCAGTCGAAATTTCTCTTTGTGCCAAATCAGGATATATAAAACCGTAACGGGTATTATGTTGATCCAAATAATTAAGCACTTTTACTCTGAATTCCGAAAATTAAACCCTTGCTTCCACTTTTGATCTTTGTCACTATTATTCAAATTATTCCACAAATCAACTCTATAAGTGAAATTATTAGGGTAAACGAGATTAATAAAACCTGAATTTGGTTCGATAGTAACACCCAAACGAGTAGGAAATGGCTTCAATTGCAGCTGTCTCAAATTTTGCTTAGAGGAGGAGCCCACTTCAAAAATTTTGTCTTCTTGAATTTGTGATGTACACCTATCACTTTCAGAACCCAAAAATCTGCTAGCTTTACTTTGCTCCCCACGTGAAACCTCACCAAAAGCAAAACCTCCTTTAAATGCACTTTCTTGATTGTAACTTTGTGACGGACACCTTGCTTTCCCACGTGAAGCTTGACTTTGTGATTGTGACCAACACTTCGCTTTTTTATATGCACTATCAGAATGCAAAGAACCAAAAGAACACCTATTTTTAATTTGCTCCCCACGTGAAGGCTCAAATACAAATGCTCCTTTTTTATTTTCAAAGCAATGCCCCCCCTTCTTCTTTATTTTCGAAGCACTTTCTTTGGGAAAAAACTGTTTCTTCTTTCTGCTTCGTTCCATAGCCCCGCGGATAATCTTGAACGGCAAAGACTAGTTTTCTTGGAGGATATTGATGCCGTCAGTGTTGTGTATTACCACGAAAAGCCGAGACCACGGTTGAACGATGAGACCACGGGGGAAGAACACGACCACGCAATTGTCTGCTATTGGTCAGTGAGTTACTGCGGTGAGTCCAAGAAGGAGAAGGGCCCGAAAAACGCTGGTTTAGTCTCTGATTTGCAGTAATCTGAGAGCAACTTCGAATCAGACTTAAAGGTACAGGTAAATCCCTTGGGCTTGGTGACCAAAATGTAGGAAATGGATCTGCACTTGTAGTTTCAATTTCTTGCGTAGATTCGGTTTTTACAACAAAAAATCCCGATTGAAATGGGTTGTCTGAGGGCCTAATGGAACTGTAAAAACTTTCTGAATTCTGATAATTGTTGAATGAATTTGTATGATGAAATGATTTATTTTCAGAAAGAATTTTGTTCTCTGTCGAATGAAACGGTGTAGGGGAATAAAGTTCAAATTGTTGGGTTAATTCAGGCCTAGGTTCAAATGGGTTGTAGGTTCGGATTTCGAACGATTGGGTATTTTTATGAGTTTTGGATTCTACAGGAAAATACTCCGATGACGATTTCGAACTTTCGATCAAAATCGGTTCAATATTCTCCTTGGTCACCAACGTCCTCTTCCCTAAATGCTTCTCAAGTTGAAACTTAGAAAGAACGTTGTTGGATTCGTTACTTGATGGAGAGGAAGTCTCAGATTTTGTTCGAGACGTCCTCGGATGAAAACTGGGCAAATTGTCTTGATTCATGAAAACCAGGCTCTGATACCACTGATGGAAATTGTTTATTATTGCACTCTAGGACCATTTCTCTGAGAAATTGGATGTATTTAACTTCGGACTGTTGTTGTTGGAGATTGTATGTGGAAAAAAGAATGTTGTTTTTTATCGTTTTGGACGTTCAATAACTCTTGCTGGATTGGTAAGTACTAAAGTTTTCTTACTCTTGCTTCAAGGGCAAGTAACTGAATGGTCATGTAAAATTGATGGGCTTATAAGTTGAAACTTAACTAGGCATGTGAGTTATGGAAAGAAGACAGAGGAATGGAGGTGTTTGATGAATCGATAAGGGAAGCATGTCGGCATGATGAAGCTTTGAGGTATATCTATGTGGGGCTTTTGTGTGTGCAAGAAGATCCATCTGATCGACCAACAACTCAAAGGAATTTCGATGATGTTAGCTATTCCTCCAATGCAAACACCACCATTACTTTACCAGAACTCTGATAGTGGTTTAATGCGAGAAGAGGTCCAAGTTCGAATCTCCTTTCCTGCTAAAAAAATAACATGAACATTAATCTACGCTGCTAATACAAACAATTCTATAGTCATTGATTTCTACGAAATTAAGTCACATGCAACTTATGTGAAAGCAAAAGTTTTTGTACATTGATTAGTGTACAACTTGATCCAAAGTGATGGAAATAATTTTGCTCACCCCCTTAAGTGGTAGTGAGCGGTGATGCTCGCTACCTTATTGGTTGTTGTTAAATATATTTAAATTTTAAAATTTGTGTAATAGATAAATTAAATCTTGGTTGTCGTTAAATATATTTAAATTTTAAAATTTGTGTAATAGATAAATTAAATCTAACTCATCTAATGAAAATTAATAGGATGGTGAACAAAAATGCACTTTAAAGGAATGCATGTATTAACAACCAACACAAGAATTGGGCCCCTCATTTTTATTAGATTATCCTTAAAAGAAATACAAAAATTTGCAATCATTTAGTTATCTATCTATGACACAACCGAAACCCAATGCCCGAATCCCAAACCAATAATTTTCGGAATGGTATTCTACAACCCGAAACCAAACCGAAATTTCGGGAATCCCAAAAAAAATTCGGGATTTCGGGACGGTTTGAGATTTGTATAAACTCAGAAAATTCAAGATCTCATACCAAATGCAGCAAAATCAAATTCAGAATGGCAAAGTTTGACGAAGTTGAACACACAACAAGCTCAAGAAAAGGGTTTTTTTCAAAAGCAGAAAATTGAGGTAGAAGAACGCAGACGTTGACCAAGAAGGAAAGATATGGTCTGATGCAAACAGAAGCAAAACAAGAAGGCAAATCGAGAGGGATCCGAGAGGTTGCAGGACTTAACTAAATCAAAAGCAAAACTAAACCTAATTCCTTTACTCCTTTATTCCTCTTTCTTTCTGCATACTTTTCCTGTCTTCTCTCATTTTCTTGGAAGCCCACCGAAAGCAAAGCTAAACAAAAAACATACTCAAACAAACAACAAAACTCCAACAGACCTCATTAACACCTCCCACACTTTGCAGCTGGCTTCGTATCACCTGATGCTCATCAGACTGCAGAGGATTTGTTGGTGAACCATTTCCTACATACCACCCGATGTTTCCTCCTTAGTCCTCTTTCTTCCCCGGACTTTGCCATTCACTCATGCGGTCAGTCTAGAGAGAGTCTGTGACTCACTGGTGTGATGTGGTGTGGCCTGATTTGAAGACGGCAAATAAGGAGGAGAAAGATCCAGCGAAATTGGTTGAGGATGAGAGCAGAGTGTGGTGAGGTTGAGATGGAGTAAGGGTTTCATTTGGATTCTACGGTTGAGATTAAATCTCAACCAAATCTAAAGGCTGTTATAATTCTAAATATATATTTAAAATTAAATAATATATATATTTTTTATTTTGGTTCGGTATGGGAATATCGAAAATTTGAGGAGAGAGTACCGATTCCCATACCAAAATTTCGGGATTGGTTCGGTATGTCATCCTTAAAATTTCGGGAATTTTGGTTTGGGACTTTTTTGGTTTGGGATCGAGATTTTTTTTGTTTGGTTTGGGATTTTCGGGAATTTTTTCCAGCCCTAGTAATAATCAACTCATTATTCGATTAATCTCATTTTGCTAATTTTCTGCCAAATTGCACTGTTAAGTTTTCTATCATTATTTGGAAATAAAACCCCACAGCAATCCGACCTTAGCTCAGTTGGTAGAGCGGAGGACTGTAGTGGGTAATATTCTCTCAGCCATCCTTAGGTCGCTGGTTCGAATCCGGCAGGTCGGATTTGGTTTTTGGTGCAACCTTTTTTTTTTTCTTTTCAAAATTTAATAAAATATTTCTTGTAATGTAGAAGTTACCTAATAAAAATTAAAATGGTGAAAACAAATCCAATTTCCCCTTTTTTCTGGTCATAATTTCCAATTTTCCTGATCATTGCATATTTTTAGCAGCATTTTTTCAACAAAATTCAGTGGTAACAAGGTTGCCGACCAACTATTTGATATTATGACAGCAGTCTCACCACTCAAATTCTCAAAAAATCCAAAATTTGCATGGAGCTGTGTTGAGATATGCTAGGCCAATCATACCTTTTACATTGGCAAAAATAAGGTAGCATACCGAGTGCAATTTTCTAACGCAACAAAGATTTAGTTTCAGTAGCGTCACCGTCCAGTAAATGTTTGTCACGTGTTTAAAGATGGCACAGTTCATTCAATAGACGATTGACACATGATAAATCAGTGGCACGAGAGAATCTCTCGACTGAGTGGGTAGGTAATAGGTATATTTGATGATTTTTTGCGCCACAGTGGAAGGTGATCATACTCACTTTGAACCTAATAAGTGGCTGGCTGGGCCAATAGAGGACCATGAGAAAGTACATTGTGGACTCACACTGTCTATTAAATTGCTGTCACGACCGACATTTGGACTTAAATATTTGATGAATTTAAGGTTGTTCATGATGCTTATTTGCAATAGGGTGCGCACTTTCACTAGCTGTTGGGACAAATTATTGTTGGACACTTTCCTCTCTGTATCTGAATGGGGTGGCTCCTTATTTGTGCTTTTATGTTTCTCCTATCTGTTTGTACAAGCCTAGACAATTTAGTGCCGGGAGAATCTATCAGCACAGACCAGACCTTGATTTCTTCCAGTGGAACATTTGCATTAGGCTTCTTCAGTCCCGAAAATTCTAACAAATTCGTCCTTGGTTTATGCTACAACACAATCCCAAAGGCCCCGAAAGTATGGGTTGCCAACAGAGAATTCCCACTTGATTCTCCGGGTGTATTAACGCTTGGCGGTGATGGAAATCTGTACCAGCTTCTGCAGTCAATCCCACAACTGCTGTACTGATGGATAGTGGAAACCTTCAACTAAAACTTGGAGAAGACATTTTGTGGCAGAGCTTCGATCAGCCCTTTGACACATTGTTGCCTAGTGTGAAGCTTAGCCTGAACAAGATAACAGGTCAGCAAGCGCGTCTGACATCATGGGCAGCACTTGATGATCCACAACCCGGAATGTTCAGCTTAGGCATTGATCAGAAAGTATTCAGAGGCAGCTAATTACCTGGAAGGGAAATGCTACCTATTGGAGAAGTGCTGTATACTTAGACTAGGAGTCAAAAACATTCTTTAGAAATCAAAGCGGAGGCTTCTTTTACGTTGCTTACAGTTTTGATGCTAATGAGATTTATTTTACTTTTGGTGTGTCGGATAGTTCAGTAAAACTGAGGGCTGTTTTGAGTCCAACTGGGCAGTTCAACCTACTGTTGTGGATAGAGAGAAGTAAGACATGGTTTGAAGCATGGGGAGCCTATCAATAAATGCGTGGTGTAGTAAGAAGCAGAAAGTGGTGTCAATGTCATATGCAGCAGCTGAGTAGAGAGATATGGCACACAAAATATGTGAACATCTTTAGTTACGTAAACTTTTGAGGTGTCTTCATTTTGAACCAAAGGAAACTATGGAGTTATATTGTGACAATAAATCTGCAAATGAGGTAGCTGAGAATCCGATACAACATGATCGAAAAAAGTATGTGAAGGTTGATCAACACTTTGTCAAAGAAAATCTTGAAATGAAGATTGTGTCTATACTATTGATAGACACTTTGTCAAGGAAAATCTTGAAAGGAAGATTGTGCCTATACCGTTTGTAAAATTATCAAAGAGATAGCCCAAAAAGGCCAACTTCTAACAACACCGATATTATCTCCAACTTGGTAAAATGTCTCCACCTGCACAAGTCATCAGTTGTGGGATTTTGTCATAAAATGTCTCGATATTAGTTGAAGTGTAATTAAAATATTTAAACTTTATTTTCTCACAGGTATCGACGATGTTGGATATTTCAACCGTTTACACATATTTTTCCACACTAAGACCCAATATTACATGGTCAGTGATGTAGGTGAACTACTCAAATCCCTTGGGTATGTGTGCGAATGCAATCTTAGTAAAGGACAATACTTGTGTACTCAATGGGGAGTGTGTAATATAGTGACCATCCTATCAAATAATGACACGTGTCATTTAAAACCCCACCCACTCTAACTAAAACTAGTTGCCAAACATTCCTATTCCTAGTGCCAAATATTCCTATTCCTAGTGCCAAACATTCCTATTCTTGCATCCAAACATCCTTCTTCTCCCTCACCAACCTTCACCAGACTGAAATCCCTATAGCCCTCAATGCCGGCCAGTAGCCCACCCTTTCCACCACTTCCCTCCATGCATCTCCTTCTCTTTGTCTCATCATAGTCTATAATTTTGAACATAGAACTTCAAAATTCCAATCTTGTGATCTTTCACGAGCTCTAATTTCAAGGAATTTCAAAACCCAGTGTCAGATTTGATGGAAGTTTGGCCACACTGCAATTCAATGCTATCACCAGGCTCATTTTTCTTATCAAGGAAGACCACCATCACCTATTCTCAATGCCATGCATACTACTTATTAGCCTTCTGCACCTCATGAGTCTTTTTGGGTGGCTGATACATGAGCTACCTCACATATGACTTCAGATCTTGGCAATCTCAATTTGGCAAAACCATTTCCCAGCAATGAAACAATAACCACAACTAGTGGTTCAGTTTTGAAAATTTCTCATATTGGCTTCAATATCTTGAAAACTCCTAGATATGCATTTGAGTTGAAGAACATATTGCATGTGCCTCGTTTATCTCATCATCTGTTGTTTATATATCGATTGTGCAAAGACAACAAATGCAGATTCATTTGTGATGAATTCTGTTTTTTGGATCCAGGACAAGGTCACCGGGACAATCCTCCTTCAGGGACTATGTAGAGATGGCCTTTATCCTATCCCATTTCATGTTCCACAATATCTACTTTCTCAAGCACAAAAGTACACTGCATCTTTCCTGCATCAAGCATGCTATCTTGGATATCATGTCAAAATAAATTTGTGGCACAAAAGATTAGGGCACCCATCTAACATTGTTGTCTCTACAATGTTAAATCAATCTAAAATCCCTACATCTGTTGATAATGTGTCTTCTGTTTGTACATATTGTCTAGAAAGCAAGTTAACAAAACTGCCATTTGTTTTTCCTGCAAATAAGGTTGTAAAACCTTTAGAGATTCTTCATAGTGATGTTTGGAGGCATTTTTCTACTGTCTCAGTTGAGGGCTACAAGTATTATGTAAGCTTTGTTGATGAATATACCAGGTTTACCTGGATTTTCCCATTACTAAATAAAAGTGAAGTTTACAATGTATTTGTTCACTTTTATAACTTCTTAGTCACCCAACTTTCAGCCTCTATTAAAGTTTTTCAAAGTGATGGTGGTGGAGAGTACACAAGTCATAGATTTCAACAATTTTTACTTGATAAAGGTGTCATCCATCATAAATCATGTCCCTATACTCCAGAACAAAATGGTCTAGCTAAACGAAAGCATAGACACATTCTTGAGACAGTCATTACCCTTTTACAAACTGCTGCTTTACCAGCAAAATATTGGTTTCATGCTTGTGCCATCTCTGTCTATTTGATCAATAAGATGCCATGTCAAACTCTCAAAATGTCATCTCTTTTCGATTGTTTGTTTGGTACTTTACCACCTCTGTCTCATCTTAAAGTGTTTAGTTGTGTATATTTCCCACTCCTAAAACCTTACAACTCAACTAAGTTACAACCTAAGACAACCCAATGTGTTTTTATAGGGTATGCAGGCCAATATAAGGGTTACTTATGTCTTAACCCAGTTTCTGGGAAAATTTTTGTTTCTAGACATGTCTTGTTTGATGAGGAGAGTTTTCCTTATTCCTCCATCATTAGCTCTGTTGGTGCATCTTCATCACATCTTACACCACCATCAAATTCATTACACACTTCACCTTTGGTCACTTCACATAACATCATAGTTTCACCATTTCCATAACAAGCTGTTTCTTCACCCTCTCAAGCCATAGTGTCCTCATCTGTTACAACCCCTAATGCCTCAGAGTGTTCCAATACACATATTCCTAGAGTTCCAGAGTTTTGTTCTACCCCATTACCCATTCTAGAGTTTTGTTTTACCCCAACCTGAAAATCTGCAAGTTGTCAATCTTATTCCTCCTATGAATTTGCATCCTATGCAAACTCGATCCAAGAGTGGGATCAGTAAGAAGAAGGCTTTCTCTGCTACTGTTCAATCCTCAGTTGATGTTACAGAACCTACGTCTTTCAAGGTAGCCAATAAAATTTCTAAATGGAATGTTGCTATGCAAGATGAAATGGATGCTCTCCATGCTCAAAATACTTGGACCTTGGTTCCAATGCCTCTAGATAAAAATTTAGTGGGTTGTAAATGGGTTTATAGACTCAAGAAGCATCAAGATGGTTCCATAGCCAGATACAAAGCTTGGTTAGTAGCTAAGGGCTATAGTCAAGATGAGGGTATTGATTATACTGAGACTTTTAGTCCTATTGTGAAACCTACTACAATGAGGTTGATTTTAGCCTTGGCTGCACAATTTAACTGGTCCTTAAGGCAGTTGGATGTTAAAAATGCATTCTTGCATGGTGATCTTCATGAAGAAGTCTATATGTCTCAGCCTCAAGGGTTCCATAGTACTACTCATCCTTCTCATTATGTTTGTAAACTCAACAAATCATTGTATGGTTTAAAACAAGCTCCACGAGCTTGGAATGAGAAGTTCACAAGTTATTTGCCTGGATTGGGTTTTAAATAGTCACTTGCAGATCCTTCCTTGTTTGTTCAACATTCTTTTCTAGGTACTATGGCGCTTTTATTATATGTGGATGATATCATCCTTACTGGGAGTTCTTCTGAGTTGATTAATGCAGTTATTACAGATTTAACAAAGGCATTTGATATGAAGGATCTGGGGCAGTTGCACTATTTTTTGGGCTTGGAGATCAGTTATGTATCTACAGGTTTGTTTGTCTCTCAAACCAAGTATATCAGGGAGTTACTTCAAAAGGTTGATTTACAAGATTCTAAACCGTGTGCCACTCCCTATTTACCATATCATAGACTACTTAAAACTGAAGGTACTCCCTATCATAGCCCTGATCAATATCGAAGTATAGTAGGTGCTTTGCAGTATTTAACATTCATTAGGCCTGACATTGCTTTCTCAGTGAATCAGTGTTGTCAGTTTATGCATAATCCTATGGATTCTCATGTTGTGGCTGTTAAGAGGATTTTGAGATATCTTAGTGGCACTTTGGACTATGGTCTTCATTTTCAAACTGATAAACTGCATTTACAAGCTTATAGTGATGCTGATTGGGCTGGTGATCCTAATGATAGGAGATCTACCTCGGTCACATTGTTTATCTTGGTTCTAGTCTCATTTCTTGGGCTTCTAAAAAGCAACACACCGTCTCTAGGTCATCCATACAGGTAGAGTACAGAGCTATTGCCATTGCTGCAGTTGAGTTAGCTTGAATTAGGCAACTGCTATGTGATTTACATGTCTGTTGCGTGTCAAGAGATTAAGCAATAAGTAAAACAGTTAGGAATGTTTACTTAGTGTGTAAGGAAAATCTGTAACTATATATACTTGTAATTGTTATGTAAGCATTTTTTTTCATTCAATACAATTGAAGAATTATTCAGTGATAAATCTTTCTCTCTCTCTCTCTCTCTCTCTCTCTCTCTCACAGTGTGTAAGGAAAAGCTGTAACTATATATACTTGTAATTGTTCTGTAAGCATTTTTTTCATTCAATACAATTGAAGAATTATTCAGTGATAAATCTTACAAAAAGCTGTAACTATATATACAAAAAATTACCCATTAACAAAAAGGAAAAAATCAACCCTTCGCTCTCCAAGAGACAACGACAAAATCTCAAGTCAGGTATGGACGTTGGCCGTTGGCCGTTGGCTAGTCAAGCAAGAACACACGAGTAGGCGGCCAGTCAAGGCGAGTAGTTCTCGGATCGCATACGAGCAATGAAACATCCCAACCCCATTTTATTTAAAAATTGTTTTAAAACCTTAATTGGTGAGCCCGTGAGGCCCACCTTGTTTTATTTTTATGTTTTCCGGTCTCTCCTCTCTCAGTTCTCTCTTCTCCCTCACCTCTTCCACAACTCACTCTCCCGTGTATCTCTCTCTCCCTCAACCTCGCACCTATCTTCCTCTGGACTCACTAGGACCCTATCACCTTCAGGAGAGGCTCATAGCAAGCCCAGAGACCCCTGCCCTGCGAGATCGTTGGCACGGAGCAAAGCTCCGACGAGCTTTCTTTTCTTTTTAAGTTGGGGTAAGTCTCAAATCTCTCATTCTCGTACCTAGCTTGATGCTTGGTTGTGATTTAGAAGCTTGAACCTTCCATTTTTTTTACGTAGGTTTTGCCTCGGAATCGTTGTGGGTGAGCACACTCGTTTTCCGGCGAACCCGTGGACTTTGGAGGCTTTTTCCGGTCACCTCCGACCGAGTTATGGTTTTTGGAAGGTAGAAACCTCTTTCTCTCTCTTTGTTCTTCATGTTTGTACCTAGATCAGAGCTCGAAGCTCTCGTTTTCAAGTGACCGGAGCTATAGCAGCTCCGGCCTTCTCGCTCGGCAAACCAAGGCCATCCGGACTTCCCTTTCTTTTCGCCTCGAGCCTTAAGCCCGTTAAACCCCAAGCCCATTTGTTTTTATTTTATTTTATTATGTTAATTGGTTTTAAAACCCCTAAGGGCTCGGGCTTTAGTTTAAAAAGGCCTTGGGCCGGTTTCTTTTAAAAGGGGCTTAAGCCCTGTTTGTTTTTATGAAGCCTTAAGGTTTTGTGGTGTGTGTGTATGTGACCCGTGTGTGTGTGTGTGTGTGTGTGTTTTTAGGCGTGTGTGTGTGTGTTATGTGCATGTGTACGTGTGTGTATCTGCATGCTATGCATGCAGTGCATGTGTGTGTGTGTGTTTGTTTGGGCTTAAGCCCAAACCCCATTTCCTTCATCCTAAACCATTTTAACCCAAAACCTTAGAAATCCTAAAACCTATTAAAACCCTAAAACCCACTTCCCTATTTATTTAAACTCTAAACCCTAATCCGGATTCAAGCCTAAAACCCGTTAGACCTAATTTGACCGTTGACCCCCGGTCAACGTTGACTTTAGGGTTCACTTTTCGGGTTTTCGTCCGGGACCCTTCTTAGGGTAATTCAATGTTCTGAATCCGTTTCCAATGTTCGTTTTCCCAAATTCAATTTCTATTATATAGTTTTATTTATTGCACGTTTTATGTGCTTAGGGGCAATTATTGTGACATTTCCGTCTTCACTAGTGGCGCAACTTTTGGCGGCTAAGTACTGTGAGTGGACTACCTTAAAAAATTACATGTTTTATTTATAGAATTGCATATTTAAATAGCATGCCTTGCAGATTGATTGATTTGAGGAATACTTTACAGGAAGCATGATTATTTGATTATACGTGATTATATATATGTTTTGAATTATTTTCATTATATCGTATTTTCTATAAAACCCTCATTCTGGTAGACTATCTGATCGATGACGATAGGATGCTAAGAATGTGTTTCAAATGACTTTCGAACACCTCTTCGTAGTATAGAGGATCGATGAATTTATGCTACAAAGTTGTATTTTAGAGATGAATTATGTTTTGTGCGTACCTAGTGAACACTATGCCGCCTGGGGCGAGGATCTGGTGTTGGCATTAAGGTCAGGAGAAATAATCCCTAGCGAAAGGTTGAGGGACACGGAGACAGGCATTGGGCCAGGAGGGAGATATCTCTGGCTATGGGCACAGAGACTGAGGTGCAGGCATTGGGCCGGGAGTATTGTTATTCAGTGCACTTACTAGCAACACAACTTGTGTTATGCTTCCTGATATGATTTTCTGAGATTGATTTGCAGATACATATATGAATTGTTTTATGGCATGCTAGAGGTTTTGAGAAACCTATCACTTATTATTTAGTAGTTTTCATCATATTAACTGTGGGGGTTAGTATGTTCATAACTGTTTTATTAGTATTGTATGTATATAAATTTGGTCCACTCACCCTTGTTTTGCGCCCCATTCAGGTCTTAGAAACGAGGCATAGAATCCCGGCATCAAGGCACTTCCGCATCAGCATCTTCAAGTCATTTCAGAGTAGGACCTATTCCTTCATTAATTTAATTTTATCTTAATTATTTTTAGTGATTAGGTTTAGTTGTGTGCTCTGAACACGTTCCTAAATTGTTTACTCATTGTTTTCAAATTCATAACCCGTATATATTCCTTATTCTCAGCTTTTGCATTTAATAAATGGCTTTCGTCACCCTCGGGTGTCGGCCAGTACGTGCCTACCCTGGTATTCTGGGAATATCAGGGTCGGGGCATGTCAAGCAAGCGAAGGTGAAGCTGATGGTGGATGCGGTGCTAAGACGAAGAAGGAAGATCCATCGATTATTGGAGAATGAAAGTCCAGATCTATAACCAAGAAGAGAGATGCGGCGAGAGACGTCCTCAGAGGAGCCAAAGAAGAATCGAGCAAGAGAAAGAAGGAAACTGAAAAATTTGGGAAACAAGTAAAAGAGTGAGAGGCTGGGGTTGAAGTAATAAATGACATAAAAACTTACTTTTTATTTAAATATATTAAATTAAAGGGCACGAAAATATTTATTGTGTCTTTAAAATTGATAATAAAATGTCATTTTCAGACACCAAAGTCATGGCTTCCGTGCCCAATAATGTGTTTATGTAAATTTTATATTGGGCACAATACATGGTGTGCATTATTCAATTGGCACTTTTCCACCGTCTTGATGTTCAAACAGACACAAAATTCTTAATTGTGTCCTTAGTTTTGTATCCAAAGCCCATTTCTTGTAGTGTGTCCACAAATAGGTAAAGAACTTATACCTGTTGTGAAGTCTTTGGACCGATGTCCACTCACATTGTCCTCTACACATGGTACACCAGGAGATTTGACCAACAATGACTATTCTTTGGACGCTTTATGGAACTTGAAGTTTCTTGATAAGTGAATTTTATATTATATATTTAACCCTATTCTTGGTATATTTTGGTTCATATTTTGGAAGAATTTTGATACTTTGAATTGTATTTTCAATATAGGACTTTCGAATTCCTCTGGAGCAAAACGTGGTCAAATGGACGAATTTTGGAGTAATTCTAGTTGGAAGACATTCTTGAGTCACTTAGCTTGATCATATCAAAAATTGAGATTTTTCCATCAAGCGGTTATTTTCTGGCGATAAAATAAAGGAGCGATGCGCGATGTTGGAAAATGACGTTTCTGGGCTTAAATTGCGTTTTTGGAGCCCAAGATGACCTCAGATGGTTTCGTGGCCTTCTAGAGATGTGTTTGAAACGTCCTTATCTTTAAAACAAGCTATCTTGGGCCAGGTTTGGAGGAGATCTGAGGCTAAAACGTGGCTGGACAAGTAATTGGCAGATTCTCCTAGTTTAATTAGGGTTTTATTTTCTATGATTTTTATTATTTTTCTTAGTTTCCTAGTTGGAATAAGAAACCTATGTCTTAGGGTTTGTGAGGGTGGAGCAAATATATTGCTTTTGCCATCCACAATTTTGGACTACGCTTATTATTATTCAATTTCAGAGACGGAGAATTTTGCTAGGGTTCTTGAAGATTTTCTACTTTAAGGTGCTTTCATTCCTTTTATTTTTAATAATATTTTCTATGATTTCAATTATGAATATGCATAACTAATTCCTCTTGCTAGGGCGAAACCTTGAGCCTTAGCATGAATATGTAATTTTTATTTAATTGCTTATGATTGATTGCATGCATATTTTGAATTATTGATCACTGTTTTAAACTATCTAATTGTCTTGATGATTGGCCACCATTAGGATGTTTAGACAAGTAATTGGATGCAATTCGGTCAGAATATCACCGGAGGATTGAGTTTGCTTTTTGTGATTGATAATTGTAATTTCAGCTAAGGCAAATATCACGTTCTTAGGGGTTGCATGGTTCTTCAAAAGGTTTTCATAAATCTTAATGAGTCTTGCATGTTCATATTTGATCTGAATATCACAGACGGATTGCATGTTAGATATATGTTCTTGCTTGAATATCACGAGGAGAATATATATTAGGAAAACCTAACCTTCGAAGTGGCATGTGTAAATCATAAGTAATTGGTATAAATTCATAGGATTGCTAGGTGATGGTGGAACCCTAGTGCCTTTATAAATTGGTATTTAAAAATCTTTTCTTCGATTATATTAGTTTTTGTTTAAAATTCGTTTTTAATATTACCCAATCTCAAACTCTCTTTTCTCAAGTTTTAATTCTAAGTATTTAATTAGGAATTGTTTCTACACAAATTATCCAAATAGTCCTTGAGGAAAACGACCTTGCATGAGCATCTATACTACAACATCCTTGTATTCTTGCAAGTATTTCTTGTGTTTTTGAC